AGAGACAGACAGCAGAGACCAGAGACAGATTACGTTAGCGGACTCTGATTCTCTGACTGTAAGATCACCAGAACAGTGTTAGTGTTTTATTTGTTAAATAGGGGTGTTTGCTGGTACTTGAGTGATTTGCGTCCTTCATCTCCATCCACAGATACTCAACTGTGGAGTCTCACCAGCATCACCAGATCTAATTCAATCAGACTTCAAACGGCCTCCCTTCTGTCTGCCCTATCATCTGTCCAGCAGGCTGCAGCTCATTTCCTCTCAAAAGCCTTTTAAAAACTTAATTGTGCCTCTAATTTCCCTGGTTTCCTGATCTCCACCCCGACACCAACACATACAATAACACACACACACACACACACACACACCACATGAGCTCATCTGACTTCTGCTGTTTATCACAAATGAGTCACCAGGAGAAGTGTAAATGTAATCAGTGCAGCTTTTACACCAAAAGAACGAAAGAGGACGACAGAAATCTTTTCCTTATTAAAAAGCTTCAAGTCATCCGTCATTTTCAGGTTCGATCAACAATTTATGGAAAGAATTTCACCTTGTTTCAGTAAACAACAATAACTAGAATAAGACGATTTTCCTACTAAGCTCTTTACAAGCCTAATGAACGTACTCCAATTAAAGCATGCCCTACAGATTATATTATAAAAATCATATCCAAGTCTTTTATAATGTTTAAAAGTTGTTTCTCCTTCCGACCAGAAATGTGGATGCATTACAGAGCTGACTGTAAACAAGCAGCCGTGTGTCACAAACTGCGACAACAAACCCCAAATGAGACTCAATTAATATTCCGAATGCTCCTAAAACCCAAATAATATCAAATCCAACATGTTTTAATCACACAATACTACATTTAGAATGAAGCCTAATTAGAATTAAACCAGAATATACTGTTGAAATTGCCCTTATAGTGGACAATCTGTCAGTAAAGAGGAGGAGAAACGCACTTAAAGCGTAAAAACGGATCCATACATTAAAATACTTAATTAATCTTAGATATAAAACCTTTAAAGAACCACAGAAGATCTGTTAAAAGCTCCTTTAATCCAAAGATCACCTTCCCATTCTCACATCAGACTAACCTCTAACTGTCTTCACACTATCGCAACAAGTCGATCTAAAAACTATTTGCTTTTCCCCAAACTTAGCCATTAGTCGACGGCGGCCACAAGCTGAGTGGCTGTAAGGAGACGAGCTAATGACTGGACTTCCTCTAGTCTGTGGTTTATTCACTTATAGCGCACTCTTAAACCACAGTGTGCAGAAACAGAAAGGACGGACGGATCCACGCGGACACGTCGCTCAGTGAGGAAACACCGATTCTAACCAGAGTGAGTGGTTTCTATTCCCATCGGTGGCTCTCGGACTGAGTGTGCACACAGATGAACTGCGGTTTGGATTCAAGTTCAGCGAGTAGAAACTTCATGTGGTTTTATTTCCAGGAAGTGTTCGTATCTAGTTGAAGCTCCTGTATCAACCTCAATGACAATAAAAAGGTTATTTTTTTTATGGATTTGCATCAATTAAAAAACAACTTCACATCCGTTAAGTGTTTGATCATCAGGGGAGAGAAAACACAGTCATGTTCAAACAGGAGCCTAGACACCAACAGGATAGTCTTAATGTAGGATTTGTAGTGTTTAAAAGCCTTCTCTACACTTATAATGGAGAAAATGCTGTTTTTTAAATCATTAATTCATTGTTGTTCTCCCAGAAGCAGCCCAATTAAATAAATACTGAGTCTAGAAATACTGAAATCCACCCCAGAAAACTATTAAACTCATAATTTGGGGTTTTAATGAAATCGGGTAATTTAATTTAAGGCTGTTTATGATATTTTATAGTCAATATCCTTAAATCCAGCTGTTTTCTAAGTGCTCTACAGTGACGTAGAGATAAATATCTGCTGTAGCAACAGGTATCCCTCCTAGTTCAGACACACAGTGAAGCAGTGCAAAGAAACCAGTTAAAAAGATCAACTGGAAGATTATAAACCAGCCCATCAGAAGCAGAGCAGAAAGCAGATTGAGGTTTGCATTCATGACAAACAGGAACCAGAATCTCTCAGAGTACTGTCGGTGTGATCGGGCAACGATTGGGTCGTTTCAGTAAATAACTTTTTAAAAAAATGAGTTCGGTTCAGACCTTCTCTTTATAAATAATAAGTCAACTTCTGTTATGATTTGGTGCT